TCCGGCCGGCCAGTCGTAATGTGCGCACCGAACGGCCGCTGGAACGGCCTAATGTGCGCCCGCTATCGGGCCGTCTCGGCCGGGACCGGGCCGTTCCGTGCCGCCGGGCCCCGTCTCGGCCGGCGCGGCGGAAGGAGACGGACGGACGGACACCGGGAGCAGAAGTCTGCGGACCGATGGACCAAAGAGCAAACCGATGGGCGGATGGACGGACGGACGCGGTTGGCGGCAGTGAATGATGAAGTGGTTACTTATTATGTTTGTGGTGCGGAGTATGCTGCAGACCGGTCCGTATTTCATGCCAGGTGTTTCCCTATATCCTATTGGGTTCCTTCTCTGCTGACATTACAGTGGTTTTTACCGTGTGACGGAGATTATTTAAAGCACAGTTCGCCAGGGTCAACACTGTTAAAAATGTTAAGTCGATAATATCCGAGAGCTGGCGTGAAAATTTGTCCGTGGCTCCCAGAAACTTTTTTTTGCATTATAGCTCTCGCCTTACGCTTGTGAGCTCATAAAGTCGCGTGTGGTTTCTTTTGCCTAGACTTGGTGTGTACTTCGCTCGTTTAGACTTATGCACACAGTCGTATGGTTAATAATTTGTTTGAGTTCTTGTTTGTTGAGTGCTGAGAGTTGAGTGATCTTTTGCGTATACTTCTTTAAAAGGCATCGTCCGTAATTTCGAGTTCCGGGTAGTAATTTAATCAAATGTTATTTGGAAGGATGCTACTAACGCGCTAAATTTTTGCATCGTCAACTTTAGAAAGTCAACTACCTGAAATCCAATAAACTTGCTTGAGTTTGACTTTGAGGCTCTGAAGTAGATTGTAACAATCGAATAATTCACATTTTTATCGGGTGTGAGCGATAATGCCGTCGGATTTCCAAAGGACTCGTATTTCGGACTTTGTGTTTATTCGCCCGATAAGCACTAAATACAAGAAACGCTAACATTGTTCCAATAGAGGCAAGAAGGCGTAAACTGCCTTTCCACCAGAGTGGAACCCGCCGAGCTGTCTTGTTTACGGGCGGCTGTTGGGCAGTGGTGCCAGCGGGCCGTTCTCGCACCAGTGGTGCTGACTGCTGACCGCCGCTGGTGGCCACTGGTGCTGACGGGCGCTGCTCCAAATCGCGCCTTATCGGCAACGCTCGCAAGTCGGCCGTCGTTTCTCTGATAATGCGATCATTTCACTCCACTGCCGGAAAGTCTCCACAGGCCGGGAGCGCGGCCCGCTGAGATATTTGGGGCGTGAAATCACGACAGGGAATGTTTGCGAACGTCAATTTGGCTAGTGTTGTCGCTTGTCAAACGTCCAATGCGGTCCGTCAATAAAGAGGCGTTTATAGATGTGCTGTGGATTCGCTTTGTAAGAGTGAAATGGTACGACAAATGTGAAGAATATCCAATGTCGGATGATCCAGACGATTGAAGGCTATTGGTTATGTTTGATCGAGTAGGGCACTTTGTCCCAGTTCTGCTCCGTTGACTGCCGGGTATCTGTCTGATACTAGTCCACAGGCAAACTTGATCAGTTTCGCAGCAAGTTGTCACGTACTTTGTAAAGTAACCCATTCCTCGTCGCGGTACAATCTTTTGTTTGGATATCCGATAGTGTGTTCTGGCACGTCTCGAGGCTGTTCAGTTTGGTTTTTAAAGTCGCTTAAGCATCCAATCTAAGCAATGTTCATTACGCTATGTTTCGTGTCTTGTGAATAACAGCAATAGTATCGTGGGATAGTCTCCTATCTTTCCAAGGAGCCGCTGAAAGTCGAGAAAACGCAGGTTTTTCTGTTGGACCATTTTTTCTAATGTTTCTGCTGTCGAGGGGAACTCGATGGGGCTGCTTCAGTCCTGGAGTCGGCAACAGTCGGGGATTGTGCACGAGCCTCGCGTGGTTTCCAGCCAAACGAGCTCCCAAGTGGACTCATTATGTTCGTCCACTGTCCGTCTGGTATCTTCCTAACGGATGTCGCAGAATAATGGGAAGACAGCGATAAGAATATACCAACAACTTATAGTTGGTATATGTTTCCTGGTCAGGGTAGTGTTTTTCAACTCCGATTGTAGTTGCGTTCGTTGAAATTGCGTTTGCTTCAGCCGAACCTACAATAAGGCTAAACCTGACTTCGCTCGAACTTAGCGGCCTTCTTAATCGTTCCGGTAAATCAAAGGTCAAGTGTGTGCGCCGTGCAGCTTCTCACTCATATTTGCCGACCCGCCGTCTTCTGTTCACGGTCGCCCCTGAGCGCCCGTCGACCCGGCCACCGTGGCTTCTGATCCAGAGAACAGCCCCCGGGCCTAGCACAAAGTTGATTGCCTTTGTCTGATGAGTTGGTGATTTGTTTGATAGGCTTAAAATGTCGCCCATTGATTTTATGTAATCGTTGTCTGCGCCTGATTGCTGGTCGTGCTACCGACGGGTAACTTTGTGCTTTGTTAACTTGGGCCGCTCCGGATCAGCCGGAAAGCCTGATTTCGGGCTAACTGCATCAGCCATTGGAAATTGAGATGCTAAGTGGCGGACGTGAGCCTGTGGCGGGGACTGACGGGCGGATGAGGCACAGCTGTTGCGTTGTGTCTTATTAGCTACAAGTTTAGGCGGTACTTCTTTGTTATGCAACATTCGATCGCAGGAAGCTGGTACCGAAGATGAGTCAGAAGGCCAATATCCAGTCGGGCAAGACTAGCGGGTAAATCGTGTTCATCACATACCGTGCTAATCGCATGCTTATACGTTGTAAGACTTATTACTAACATCAATGAATTGTCATGTGTTGCAGCGGTAGGCTGACTTGCCGACTCAGGTAGTGACATTTGGTATAATTACTAAGCAGGTTTAGTGATGTTTGTCGTTCGTTATTTCTTATACAGAAAAAATGTTAATCCGGCTAATGCCAAAAAAAAATGTTCTACCCCAGTGTTGTAAAAACACGTTGCTATAAAACCCAGAGATAGTCCAGAATTGGAGGATCAAAAGCATGCGATAGCATGCTTTTGCATCCGGAAATTCCCATTGGTGGGTCGCTGAAGAAAAGTTCGGCCAAGCCTGTTTGTCAGTATGTGAGTGAGTATGTGAGTATGTGAGTGAGTTTGTCCAAGCCTTTTTGGACCTGGAGTCAAAATGGGTGGACCGATCGGGACGAAAGTGGGACCGTTCGACTCGTCTCCGGCGAGGTAAACTTTTGGTACTGGCCTCGGTTCGCTCAGTGCTTCGTGGCACATGCTATTCCGCTTCAAAGTTTCGGTGACACGAAATTTTTTGTCAAGGCTACAGGTCAACCCGAGGTCACGGACAAAGCCACACTGGCGGGACACATCGGTAACACCTTGAACCAGTTTCCAGGGGGGTCACCGTCTGCGAGGGGTGCAGGCTGCACGTGCTGGGGGCGGAAAACCGTTTTGACGTGAGGTCCTCTGGCTCAAAGAAATTTTGAGCTATCAACCTCAAAATCGGTTCAATGGTAGTCTCAGGCAAGGCCTCCAAAATAGTGCACATTTGGTTGAGCTAAACTCTGTGGTGCACGAGCTAGGTACGTGCAAGCCGATTGCACCCCTTCGTGCGTTGCCACGCCTGCAGGGTAAACGGCCGCTCTAACTGGTTCAAAACTTGCAGGTCATAAGAAGAATACATTGAGTCGTAACATTCCGGCGAGATAATATCCCAGGGGTGCAAGCTGCGCGTGCGGGGGGCGGATAACGGTTTTGACTAGGGATCCTCTGATCCCGGGAAACGTCGATCTAGCGACACAAAAGTCGGTACACTGATAGAACTAGACACACGCTACATGATGTTATGAAAATGACTGCACTGGGGTGCCTGGGACATGAACTATGCACGTGCAGTTAATTCATACCATACTGTAGGAAGATATCCGCACCAATCTCACGTGCTTCGAAGCATTTTTGGGATGTTTCGTTTGGTTTCAGTCAGTTCAGTCCAAGCTCAGTCTGGGTTTCGGTGGTTTGGCCCGGTGTGTGCCCTCAGTACCGTTCCTCCAATTCTGGCCCAAGGCAACGCAAGAGCGCTGCCGGCATCTAGTTATATAAGGCGCTCTTTTTCATGTTTCGCCCTTCCTGCAACTAATATTTGATCGTTTTTATGGCGAATGTCAATGCGGAACTGGCTCGATGGGATGCGTGAAAAAAATAGGGGGTTGTAAGTAAAGCTGCACTCGGTTATTCGCTGGCAAATGCAAAGATGACAGCGGTGCCTTGGTGTTTCTGCTGTATGCTTCAGGATGGCCACATTCCCGCCAGGCAATCATATCCTACATTTCTCGTGGGTGTAAAAAGCGGCGAACATCTATTGGCAGAACTTTCACTTCGCCCCCGCCGTCCGGCACCAACATTCACCAGGAACGGAGCATTCCCGGCTGTTTTTTCTCGCTGCTCTCGACGGGCGGCTGCAATATGTGTCGCGTCTCCTGCGGCGCGGCCGGGCCGCCCCCATTGCCGGCCGGTCGCTCCGTCGTCTGTGACGCAGCGCGAGGTGCGGGCTGTCACTGGCAGCGGCGCACCCGTATTCCCGGGGGCGGCGCGGCTGCTGCCGTATCGCCGGCGACGAGTGGGGGGGGGGGACGTCTTTGTGAATGGCGGCGTTGACTGGTCCGGGCCGACTCGGGTCGGGCTGGGGTACCGAGCTGGCCGACGGAGGCCTCTGAGATTCACGACATGGCCTTCCAATCGACCGACGATTAACGGGATGCAGTGGTGTCACACGGAAAGTGGTAGCAATTTGTCACGGCGCTGTTGGTATTTCTGGGGGAGTAGGTCACCTTACTGAAAATAGCAAATAGCACTTACCAGCAAATACTAGACAAGGCCGGATTTCGTACCAAGACGTTGGTTTATTGCAACGCAGCACAACGGGTTCTGCGTGCACAAACTAATGCGCTCCACCTTTTCATTTATTCGTCTTGTGTCTGCATTTGATTACCCTGTTTTAGTGTTCATCATTTTCAGTGAGATTAAGCTCTGACATCTCTTTTGTTTCTGACAGGGAAAACAAGGCGAAGGCGACTTTGGTTATCAGTGACACTGACTCGGAATTCGAGGGAGCGCAAAAGAAGAAGAAGCCTGCCGCCAAGAAGAACGACGGTAAGTGATTCCTTGCTCCAACCTGCACCTCACCCACCCAGTGACCTCATCCAGATGACCTCTGTGTGCCCCAGTGCGCCATTGACCTAACCAGCAAGCTTGCCTCCGTCTCCAGCCTTTTCAATGAGCCCGACAAACGGACAAGTTCAGCCTAGTGAATACCGCTCCGCTCCGTAATTCGCTTACGTTCGTCCCTCGGCGCATGGTTTCCATTATGCAGCCGTTCGGTTGATGGTAATTCGATGGCCCGGGCCCGTTGGCAGTACTGCCAGGGGCTTGTGAACCGGAAGGTGACCCGATGGCGCCATTAGTGCTGTGAGGAGACGGCTGCGCCCGTCCGGCCGACCGTTTGTCCCCTGGTTTGGTGGATGTCTGCTCGATGGCCGGAGTTTAGTAGCGTGCACTGCTGGTGGTCGGTAGGCCCCGGGGAACCAGCGTTCAGGTCTAACGTTCAGTCTGCCATCCCTGAGAGACCTCAAAGGGTACACAGCACTTACAACAATGTAATGGCTGTCGCAGCTCGCTTATATTGAAATAAGATTTCTTATTTCCGCTATAAATACCTACTCCGGATTTATACCTTATGTCTGAAATGAAGCCTGTCTCTTCATCTTTATCTTACTAAATTATTAACTAGGAACTACCTCACGGTCTGACTGATCGTATTATTTGATTCCATGTACTGATGCCAGCTAAAGTTTTCTGATGTGAATGACCTCACCTCGAGGGCTAGTAATCCTCTCCCTTTCCCCTCCCTCGGTGATACTGTGGCCACGTGATGACTTGTGAGTGGGAGGGTCCTCTGACCTCCCGGGTCCGTACCCCGGCGGATACTGTAGCCGTTCCTTGCCTCCCCCCGCGCGCCGTCCCCCCGGGGTCTCGTGATGGCTAGCGGTGGCTGTTGGAAGGTCGTTATGCTCACGGCCGCCCTAAGATATTGCCCTACTGTGCTCTGACGGCTCGGACGCGGCCGACTCATGCATTATGTCCGCTCTAATGATGCAGGTCGCAGAGTGGTGGACAATTCAAAATTGTTATCTTGTGCGCTGCCTTTTGAGCGGGTTTGTGTACAGTCCGGCTCCGTGAAAACACTGAGACAGACGGAAGCAGACAGGGTCGATGGGGTTGGGTTGCGTCGCCCGCGGCTCCGGCTCGGTTTTCCGCCGCTAATTGGCCCTTGTTCCGTGTTCTGAATATATGGCTGACATGGAGAAGCCTCGTTATCAGGCACAGTTATAGGAGAGGGCACGTCTATAATAAACATTAAACATCATTTTGTTTTTGCATACCATGTCATGTCAGGATTATAATTAAATGAAAATATATAACCTTGGTTATGTGTTTGACGTCCGGGCACTTACCGGACTGTTGCTTCTTGAAATCAATTTCATCGGCGTTTGAAAGTGCTGGTTACGGAGTCTACCACTCATAAATTGGTCATACTTGGGTTAAAATCAGTCGATGCTCTTTCAAGGCATGCTATTTTCAATAAACGCAGGCTGTTTGATATGTGTGGTCAAAGCGACTCTCCTGGTCAGGTGCTAGAATGGTGTTATCTTACCGGACCTGTGGAGTCCCGGTCCCGCCCTGATTGGCTGTCCAGCTGCCGTGCGAACTGCGCAAAAACGGTGGAGCTGGTGCAGTAACACTAGACCCTCTAGCTGCTGGGAGCTGGTGTAGTAACACCAGACCCTCTAGCTGCTGCGTGCACTAACCTTCCGGCCTACAGCTGCCGTGCGGTAACATTCGGCGCTCTAGTTGCCTGCCGCGAGTAGCGCCGTTTTGTCCACCAGCGGCGGTGCGGTGCGCAGAAACAATCTGCCCGCCGGCATCAGGAGCGTCGCCGCTCCGCCGACAGTCCATCAGTTAGTGCGCGTGCCATAAGCGCGCCGGTGACGCGGCCAGCATTTATCAGTGTCGGCAACACGTGACCGCCATCAGCGCTAGGTACCGCCCAGTGATAACCCAGGCGCGCCCGAATGCGGCCAATTTGTTACCGCGGCCGCCGCCTGGCGTGGTCCGTGCGGCAGGGTTCCAACGTTCGGGCAGTAGAGTGGGTTGTAGTTATGCTTTCATATATAGTGGTATTTTTCAGTCGGCCTATTGTCACTGGACCAATATGTAACTCAATGTTGCGTCACATTGCATTTTCGCTCCATTTCTCGTATCTGGTTGGGCAGCTTCTCCGGCGATATTTCACCACTGGGTCATTTACGTTGGATACTTTTGCATGTCGTCTGTATCGGTCTCATGTTTAGCCCCGCTCTGAGCGCCTCATTGGCCGCAGTTTCCTGGGCCGAATTTCGGTGGCCGTGGCTGTCTTTGACGAAGGAAAAGTCTGCCTTACTCTGCCTCGCACGCGCTCGCCCAACATACCTTCTCGGTGACGTCAATATAGACGTCTCGCAATCTGCCAAGCCTGGAGTGGCATCCTACACCCAGCATCTGAGCGACCTGTCACTGAAACAGCTGATCTCCGAGCCGACCCGCCCTGGGCCGACTCCATCGCTGATCGATCACCTCGTCACCAACCGACCAGACATGACGACTGGTGTCCGTGTGACACCCTGCAACATCAACGACCATGACCTGATCACGGCGCTCGTCGCCGATGTCAAGACACAACACGTGCCCGAAACCATCACCGTGCGGTCCACACGGCGTGTGAACACCGACGCTCTCTGTCTCGACCTTCTACAAGCCGACTGGTCCCAGCTGTACGGGGCTGACTCCACCACCAACATGTGGAACAGCTTCCTCGCCACGTGGAACCCCATCATCGACCGTCACATGCCGATGCGGACCATCCGAGTGAGGAACAGGCTGGGTCCATGGCTCGATGACGACACTGTGCGCGAAGCTATGGCTGCTCGAGACCAGGCTCGCGCCGACAGGGACCACACACCCTGTGACGTCACCGAGAGGGAGTTTCGGGAGAGCCGCAACGCAGTGAAGATGGCCATCAACCGAGCCAGCGCCGCCTTCTACGCCTCCTCATTCAGACACTCCCGCCCAAGGACCTGGAAGAGCGTCAGACAGTTCCTGATCTCGTCCCAGAAGACGCAGCACAGGGCTGTCGGCGATGCACCGGCGGACCCCGACTGGCCAGACCGTCTGAATCGGTTCTTTACTTCGGTCGGCTCCGATGTGGCTGGCGCGCTGGCGGAGTCCGATTCTGGTGCCCCCTTGCCGCCACGACCGCCGCGCGTGTGCGCCGGAGCGTTCTCGCCGGGTCCTGCCACACTGCCGGAGCTCAGTGCGGCGCTCCAGCGCATGAGCTCATCGAGGGCCTGCGGCTCAGATGGGATAACCGTACACATGCTGCGCTGTACCTTCCCAGTAGTTGGTCCGCACCTATTAAAGATTGTGAACCATTGTATCACTCGCTGCGACTTACCTGATCAGTGGAAGTCAGCCACTGTCACAGCACTGCATAAGAAAGGTGACACGTCGGACCCAAACAACTATCGGCCGATATCTGTGATCTCTGTCGTGGCCAAGTTATGTGAGCGGGTAGTCTGTACGCAGCTGGTGGCATACTTGACATCTCATCATGTACTCTGTCCTCAACAGTACGGTTTCCGGCAAGGACAGTCTACTGAGGCGGCGCTGCTCGACGCTGTCACTTTCGCGACTGACAACATCGATCGAGGCATGATGACGTCACTTGTGACAGCTGACACGTCTAAGGCATTCGATAGTGTCGAGCATGGCCGCCTCTTAGACAAGATGGAGTGGTACGGTGTGCGGCGCGAGTGGTTCGCAGCCTGGCTGCGGGGGCGTACGCAGACTGTGCGGGGCGGGTCGTGCTCGCTGGATGTTACGCATGGAGTGGTCCAGGGATCCATTTTGGGCCCCGTGCTGTTCATCCTCTTCACGAACGACCTGCCACAACACATACCCCATGGTAGGATCGTGATGTATGCTGACGACACCCAATTCCTTGACGCTGACATCCCATCTAACCTTGAAGCACTTAAAACGCGCATTGAAAGCTCTCTCGCTATTTCACTCAAATGGTTCACACAAAATCGGCTTAAAATCAACCCGACTAAGACAGAGATGACCATTTTAAGATCTTCCCGTCAGACAGTCCGTTCGGACTTTGCCGTTCACTTCGGCGGCGATGAAATTCTTCCCAAAGATAGTGTCAAAGTCCTGGGTGTCGTCATTGACCAACACTTGTCTTGGAGCTGTCACATTAGCTCAGTCGTCCAACGGTGCTACTGCGTGCTAGTGAGTCTTGCGCGTAATAGGCACAAACTACCAAAATGTGTCAGGCAACTTCTGATAGAGTGTCTCGTTTTCCCCCACATTCGTTATTGTTTAACAGTGTGGGGAGGGTGTAATGCAACCCAAAGGCAGCGCTTGCGAAAGGCCATCAACTTCGGTGTCCGCATTGTGACCGGCCTCGGCAGACGTGAACACGTCACGCCATCGCTGCGCGATCTAGGGTGGCTGAGTATCGAGGAGATGATAGCTGAACGTGATATTGCCACCATGCGCCGTCTCATCACCTGCCCCGACGCTCCTGAGATGCTGCGCCGCCGAGTGTTGGCGCGGTCCGATGTGTCCTCTCGCCGCACACGCGCCAGTGAGAGCGGGCAGGCTGAACTACCCCGAGTACGGACTGAGTTTGCCAAGCGCAGTTTCCTCTACCGTGCGGTGAAGGCTCTGAATGCTACGATGTAGCTGGAGCTCACCTAGATTGGGTGCGATTTTATAGCAACGGCCGTTTTTTACTGTCTCATTTATCGCCTTTTATCACACGAAGTGTATTATATTGATGTGTTTTAACCATCACTTTTGTACTGACGTAGACGCTATATAATCCATGTCATGGAAGGTCTTAATACATTATCTATCTATCTATCTATCTAGGCTCCGGCGTGGGCTGTCCCGCTGCGCGAGGGACGACTGAGGTCGCCGGCGCGTTGAACCCCGCCCCATACCATCGTGACCTCAAAGTCAGCGGGGGCCGCAGATTGCCATGATTAGTC